TGGCAGACGCAATAGAAGGCCCCCTCCCAACTCATCGGGGGGGTCTTTCTTTCTAATGCTGTATCTGCACATATAAATCAGGACTGGCAATTTTAGACAGATTCAGTAGTATTTTATAGTAATTAATGTTTTCTTTTTTAGTGATGTGTAATGTGCCACCCTATGCAGGATAACTATTAAAACCTCTCTTATGCAAAGCAGAAGGAATTCTAACACACTCGACAACCTAGGTTTGCCTAATCATATTCAGCAAATGTATCATCAAGGTCAAGACCCTATTGACTTGTACTCAAAGAAAATTGAAAACCAAGTAATTTTCACTTTGAGTTCTTTATTTTCATAATGACAATCTATCTGAATAAACTAAAAGTAGAATTAGGTGATGTAATTCATGTCTCAGAAACTGCAAGATGGGAGAAGAAAAGAATAATGAATTCCTGCAACTGTGGCAGATTAAGGGGCAGAGCAGGCAGGAGGGAAGGAAAGGCCCAAATCTGCTCTAGCCAGAACCAAGTCAGGACCATGTCAACCACACAGTCCACTCCCAAAGCAGATGCTGGCTCCAACCTGACAGATTATCCTGGTTCTTTTTTGTTCCAGTCCAAAGGACTGGAACACAGCATCAGTGTGGCTTCGGGCTGCTCTGGAGACATCCATTGTTTGAATGTCATACCTCTAAAATAGCCAGAAGCCACTTCATTTGGCCCATCTGTTCCAGGCCTTACTGTAGTTACATCTTGTGAAAATAATATAAGAAAAGGAACCATGTGGATTCCAAGGAGATCCAAGTTTCAAGGTGTAAAGGAAAGGTGTAAAGAACCTGCCTGTTATAGCTAAATGGTAATATTACTTTTACTTTATTATTAAATTAAGAACTATATTATTATTTAGCAATTGCTTTATTTATTAGAAGTGGCTTTTAATCTCTCTTCAAAAAAGTGATAGTTCTTCTAAAATTAAATTAAATAAATAATCAAATTAAATAATTATGAAGCAATGTGAGTCTCTCTCATGCTGAAGGAATAGGAGTGAAAACAGAATGGCAAAAGCTAAGAAAATCAGCTTTTCTTTCTAGGATTGTATAGAGAACCAGTGTGGTGTAGTGGTTGGAGCATTGGGACTACAACTCTGGAGACCAGGGTTCAAATCCCTGCTCAGCCATGGAAATCCACTGAGTGACCTTGGGCAAATTACACAAATAGGGGAAATTTCAGGACAAGTTCACCTTAGGGTCACCATAAGCTGGAAACAACCTGAAGCACACGATGACTTGAAAGCATAAACATCAAATTTCTAGTAATAAGAAAACATGTTCAGGTACTCATGTAGGAAGCACTTTTTCTTTGACTATTTCTAGATTTAAAAAACCAAGCCAAAACAATGATTAACTTTCAATGTCATTTGCAAACAAATGTTTTAAAAGACAGTGAGGCCTGAGGTTGATGCAATCATATTGTTAAAAAATTATGTCTTTAAGATACACACCCAAAGACAAACATTATTCTGATATTTATAACTAAATAGCAATCTGTATAGTAAGAACTGGGTGTCTTTTGGGCAATGTAAATTGGATACCAAAAGAAGCAGTGTCTTTTACTGGGATGTTCCTGACTAACTAGCCACTATGCTTAAGCTTGATAAAAGTCTATTATAAAAGCTAAAATAAAGAAGATAAGCAATTAATTATAATGTGGAAATGAATCAGTGGAGGGTGAACAAAGGAAGTAGTCTGGATGTTATGTTTATGTATGTGAGTAAGTATGTAAGTACGTTGAATGGAAGGTGGAGGAACTGTCGAATGGAAGATGGAAGAAGTGTTAAATGGAAGATGGAAGAATTGTTATATTATGTTAAGATATGAAAGGAATGTAAGAACTGATTGATTGTATTGTACTAATTTGTTTTAATTAATATTTTTTTAAAAAAATATAACCTGAATAATCAGTAATCATAGAGAAATTATCATAGCTATAAGCAAGAAAAGGCAGAATAGAAACAAGATTTGAACTACAAATACTGAGGCTGATTCAGAGGATGCAATGATGCATCATTTAATCCATGGCTTAACCGGTCAGAACAGACTACTGAGCAACAGCAGCCTTCCTTTGCTGCTTCCATCTCTTAGTTTTTACAAGTTTTATTTCTGCTTTTGTATTGTTGCAGTTGGCAGGTCTAAATACCCTAAAGGCACAAGACCCTGTTTGATCTTGGAAGTTAAGCAGGTCAGCTCTGATTAGTACTTGGATGGAAGACTGCCAACGAACAGCAGATAATGTAGACTACATTTCAGAGGGAAGGAGGGAGGAAGAGCTTGCTTACCTATAACTAGCTCATGGAGTGGCTATCTGTGAATTCACACAAATGGGTTACCTACGTCTGTTTAGTGAATCATTTGGAATCTTCTAGAACTGTTATGAAAGGGTTGTTGTTTTTTTTGTGGTCGCCCCACCATTCCCTGTGAATTTAATGGAAGTGCTTCCCATCTAAAGCCTCAATTCTATAGATCAGGGGTAGGCAACCTTTTTGAGCTGGGGG